CAGGGCGACTAATCTCTGGCAGTCATTCACTCTACCCCCGTTTAGTCGGCTTTAATCAAACTTAGTTTGTAGTACTGTACAAACTAATTACTACTGTGAAAACATTTCCAATAATGCAAACTCTAGTCTGGCAAAAAACGTATGTCTTATTTTATTTGAAGTGAACTCCAGTGTTGTGTGAATGCGTAGTGAACACCAAGTGGAGACTGCTTCAAAAGCAGATTATAGCCCAAGGCATTCTGGTTAAATGCAACCAAAACAAAAATGTGCGTCTTGCTCTAGTGGTGGAAATGGTCTTTTGACCAATTATTAAAATCTGATGCAACTCTTATTTTGTTTACATTTTGTGAAGAAGGAATCATGTGAAGGAGGAATCATTATCTTCTTCAGAGGTTTTCATGATGTTTCTTTCAGTGGTTCTTGGTGCAGTGCCACCACAGGTCTGGAGGGGAACAGGTTTTTCAAAGGGTTTAGTACATTTGACATAGTGCAGCTTTGAAAGAAAACCATGCTGGTTGAAAATTTTACCAATGTTCCAGTTTTGGTCCCCAATCAAAGAAAAATCTGCTGCATTATTAGGCCTGTCACAATAACAGATTTTGCTGGGCGATAAATTGTCTCAAAAATTATTGCAATCAACGATAATATTGTTTGAAGACCTTTTTACATTGATTTAATGGAAATTACGTTATAATACATGCGATTTCCTGCCAAAGATAGATACACTTTACTTTCAAAAGACACTTAACACTGGAACTGATACACAAAATAAATAAAACAACCAAAACAAAACTAAAATAGATTCTCAGTCTCCATTAACAATAGATGTACTTGAATAAAAACTAAACAACATGAAGCCAAAGGAAATAAATACTGCATTCAACCAAAAGAGTGCAGATTATGACGTTCAGTAATCATTAGATTTAAATAGAGAAGAATCTGACTGCCTGATGCAATAGTTCACACTACAGGATTTTTTTCATACTTGTGTGTTACGATAGATCGTCGTGGCCGCTCCGATCTAAATCAATGATTTGCCCAGACTGGGAGCGTGACGCAACCTGTTGAATGTGACCGGTAGCCAATCGGAAAGCGCGGATTCTCCTCGTGCTTTCTGAGGGGAAACACGGAGAGAATCCCGAACAGCAGACACGGCGCAACCCGAAATCCCGCAGACATCGGAGACAACATGAATGTTTATTCAACATTTCGTGCAAAAAAATATATAAATAACGAGGAGAGGAGTTGGAGCGAAATTTCTACCAGAAAACCCGGTAACTTTTCAGCTGTTCTTCGTTAACGTGACATAAATAGGTTATAATGATTTCCATTCAGTCAGACTGACACTAGCCACATGCATTGCAGGAAGATTGTAGTAAGGAATTGATTAATGCCTGGTTTCAAAGTTAGTGAACTGGACTTATTATTTTGTGTCCATTGTTGGACACAACACGGTTCGATCAAACCGTTATACCGAGGATTTCTGTCGGCTAATGTGACTCTCAGGTATTGATAATAAGTCGACAATCCGCGACATCAGATTGTGCAGCGCGCGCTGGGCATTACACTAAGGAATAAGGAAGAGAGGGTCAGTGGAGAGCACCGGAGTTGAGCCTTTTTTCATTCAGTGTCATCAACAGTAAGAGAAAAAGGCAGGAAGAAACGATATAGACGATAATTGAAATGAGGTCGATAGTTTTAATTTATCGTGCGATTAATTGAGTTATCGTTTATCGCGACAGGTCTATGCACTATCAGGTGTGAAAACTCCCCAAACCAACATTCTTAGGCTGTTGCTGTTTTCATGGAAGTCAAACATACTGTAAGGAGCTCAAGCTCCACAGAAAACCAATGTCAGAGTTCATTTAGTGCTATTAAGATGTTGATAACAGTAGACATTGCTTCAATAAACAGGATAACATAGTGCACATTGCTTTGCAAAAGCTTATCAAGCCCAGTAAACTTGGCCATGTAATTATAAATTGAAAAATGTCATTTTTAAATTTTATTTATTTATTGAAGCAAAATGTATGTATTTTGCTTTTTTTTTTCAAATTAATTAGTCCACCAGTCAACAACTATTTTATTAAATTTTAACATAATAGTGTTATGACAGTGAGGTAATTAAAAAATTAAAGATGTAATTGGTTTTTCAAACCAATTAAGTTAGATATGACCTCATTTAGACCAGTTGATTCAATTTAGCACCATTAATTAAATCCTATTATGTTATAATAACCTTTGAAGTTTCCAGCTCATAGCTGTCTGTAAACATTTGCTTATTTTGAATCCCACTGAGACTTGGGAACTATTTGATCTAATTCAGATTCTTTGTTTTGCGCATGTAAGGTTTCCTTCTTGACCTGCTGAGTACTGTTTGAAGCACTGAGCTCTATTGGACCGAAACCGCTCTCTTTGTCCTCTTGCTGCTCTGAACCGTCTCTATCTGCCGATTGATCCTCGGCTTGCAGTGCAAAGTGCATTTGGAGGCTTCTTCTTTTATCTGTTGCATTTGTTGACTTCTTGGGTACAAATCAGATGCTTTTGTTGTCTTTGATCTTTGTACCCTTTATTTTTATTTTTGGACTCTGATATCTGTTCGTTCTACAGGAGGTTGAACAGACTACGGCTTCTAGTCCTGCTGCTCTTTAATGATAGTTTTACTAAAGCTGAATGCAGAAAGTTGGAAACAAAATGCATGAAAAGAAAAAAAAACTGCAAAGATAAATGAAAACCTTTCAAATTAATCCAGAACTGAATCTTATACTTGTGTTTACTGGCATTATTGGTCTGTACTCAACCCCCCCGACTTGCCGGAGAAAGGGAGAGCAATCACCCTTTCATTACTGTTGCCGCTGACCTTTGACCTTGACAATGCTCTATTGTGCTTTATTGAAGAATCCAGCAGTTGTGCTGAGTTTCCAGTTAGGTCATAGCAGAAAATGAAACCCTTCAGTCTTTTATTCTTATTTTTTCATGGAGTTTTCTCCTAAAAGTTTCAAAAATTGGGCATTTCAGAAGCAACCAGTATAAAATACATAACATTGCTTTTATAAGAAAAGAAAATATGTATTTATGAAATATCTTAGGAGTAACAAGAGATTGAATTAGGTGGTCTGGTTGTTAATTAAATTGAGTTTATTCATGTCTCATATTAAAATAAATGTAGCAAAATACCATAAACAGGTCAAATTTATATGCAGTACTGTCCAAATGGAGTTCAAATTAACTCCATTTAATTTCAATTTATTCTAATCATGTATTCAAATTTAAATCTGATTACATACTGAGCAATTTAATTCTAATCATAATTCATCACAATTAAATCCCGGTTCTTATGAAGGCAAGTGGTAAAAAATTATCTGAGAAAACATTTAAGTGTTATTTTTTTTATTTAATCATGTTTACTTTTTCATCAGTGAGGACAACGTGCATCAGATCCAAAAGTATCTGCAGTTGCTAAATAGTGAGAGAATTGGCACTAATTGACAAACTCGATTCAAAGGCAGATCTGCTTCGAAAGTGAGCAAATAATCTGTTAGCGCTCACACAGCTCGTCAGCATTTACATGCAAGCATTTACAGAAAAATGCTCCCATATGTGCATGTATTTATGTGAATCAGGTGCACGGCAAATGGCATATCTTAAAACGGTCTTAAAGACCAGAGCTGTTTGAGTCAGAGAAAATGACCATCTGCAGAAAGCTTCCGTTAATTTTTCTACAGGGGAAGAAAATGGAGGAGATAAGACCACAACCACCTCTGATTAAAAATTAAAGATGTTTTTAAGTACGTGTAAATAAAAAGAGGTCAACACACAACTGTTTTTTTTCCTCTGACATAATTTTACAGGTTATTACATTCTTTATTAAATAAAGTCATATTTTGTAATTTGACCATTTTGTTTTTCTTCTGTTATTGTTGTTTATTGTCAAAGTCACTTCATCATGATTTGCAAACGTCTTTGTTACATGATTCCTCCACTCTTAGATTCTTAACGTTTTGACAAATGCCCTGTCATGTTGGGATTTTTTTTATCAATTAAGATAAAAAAATCTTAAGTAAAAAATTCTTGCTCTTTTGACTGGAGAGAGGTCAACTTTGACTTGACACACCAATAGGCACAGATTGCGCCCATCTGCTGGACTTTGAGAAAATGTTGTGCAATCTGCATTTGGAATCTGGTGGAGAAATGAGCAAAACATCTGGGATGCTTAGAGTTTCCCCCTGTGTGTTTTATTGAGTTTTTAACAGGCTAAAATAGCAGATTCACCATTGTTTAGAAAATTTAGAATGCAGCTTAGTCTGTTACTGGTACAGAACAAATATGTAAAAAGACTTGGATATAAACAGTATTTCCAAGAATATGTACATGTAAATCATAACATAAATCTGATTTAAATTTCTATAAAACTGATACTGGTAAATTGCTTCGGTATCACAGAATAGTCGAAGATTTTTGAAAATTCAAAACATTTTTAGCACTTTGCAAAACTACTTGGTTTTGTTAAAAAAATGCTATAAAGAAGTTAATTAAATCTTTTTACATGTACATAAAATGTTATTGTGATCTGCATTACTGTGTCACCAGACAGCTGTTATGTTCATCATAAAACGGGTCATCAGCTGGACCTTATTTCCAAATAGCTATAACTACATGTACAAAGTCTCAGTAAATTAGCATATTCCTTCTGCTGATGATCTTTATATATTGACAATATTACTGAAGAGCGGGGCTAGGCTAATGCTACCAAACTTCCTCTCTGTTCTGATACAACTCTTTGATAATTTGGCAAATATTTGGTCAATAACTTAGTCTATATAAAATTTTGATAAATGTGTTTTTCCACAAAATATGGAACATTGTTTTGAACATTGTCCTTTTTAACAGAGCATGAGGGAGACCTGAGTCTCCCTTGTCACAGAGACAAAAAACTACAGAGATCAACATAACTGTTAAGGTTGGAAAATGTAACTTGTTTCTTTGTTTTCTTTCCCCAGCAGGCGAGGTGAAGATGGTAGACCGGCTTGCTAACAGCGAGGCCAACTCTAAGCGGATCGGATTGGTGGAGAGTTGCTTTGGCGCCGCGGGCCAGCCCCTCGCCATTCCCGGTCGCGTGCTAATCGGAGAGGGCGTCCTCACCAAACTCTGCCGCAAGAAGCCCAAAGCCCGCCAGTTCTTCCTCTTCAACGATATCCTGGTCTACGGCAACATTGTTATCCAAAAGAAGAAGTACAACAAGCAGCACATCATCCCTCTAGAGGGCGTCACCATCGACACAGTGCCTGACGAAGGCGAGCTACGGAATGGCTGGCTAATCAAGACCCCCACCAAGTCCTTCGCCGTCTATGCCGCCACCGCCACGGAGAAGTCAGAATGGATGAACCACATCGGGAAATGTGTGAGAGAGCTGCTGCAGAAGAGTGGAAAATCCCCGACGGGCGAGCACGCCGCCGTCTGGGTGCCTGACTCCGAGGCCACCGTGTGCATGCGCTGCAAGAAGATGAAGTTCACGCCCGTCAGCCGGCGCCACCACTGCAGGAAGTGCGGCTATGTGGTTTGTGGGCCTTGCTCAGAGAAGAAGTTCCTGCTGCCCAGCCAGTCGTCCAAGCCGGTGCGTGTGTGCGAGCATTGCTACGGGATGCTGTCGGGAAGTCTCGGGCCCCGCTCGGAGTCTATGAGCCGGCCGGGCGCCAACTTCAACAACAACACCCTATCGGACGATGACGACGATGACGACAGCAGTGACTGAGGAACGGCCAAACCTCCACAGGACTCATCTTGTCTCGTCACTGAGGAGAATATACTCTTCCTCTCAAGATATCAACTAATTATTTTCTTATTTCTCTTGTTTCCATCATTGAATCTTGATCCAAGAAGAGGATTTTTTGTTTTTTGTTTTTCAGGATTCCTTTCTATGAACCTAAATGATGGATTTCATCCAGAAAAAATTACATTTCTGAAACAGTAAATCATCAGGAAAACCTGGAACTAACTGGGTGACCAGCAGAACTCTGGGATTAAGTCAGACTGTGCATCACAGCTTCACCTTGTTCTCAAGCTTCCTAATTCGGCTAATTCACTACAAAACAACGGTGCTAACGAGATATTCCGCCTGCACTGTCCCCTCAACTTAATTTCTCCTGAATAGTTTCTGTTGCACATTTTTATTTCCTTTCTACAACTTAAACTAAGGTGATAATTAGCAGGAAATGGAGCGTCTTACACCCCTAACGCTTCTGTCAGTCTTTCTTCTAACAGATTATGGAGATTTTCAGTTTTTTTAATCTGATAAAATGCAGATGTCACGCTAAATGTAGAGATTTTCTAGTTGAACTAATGCAGTTGCTTCTGACAAATCAGCTGAAGTCCCCAAAACTAACCCTAGCCTCCGCCTGTACGTCACATAGTGCCTTCTAGCAAACTGAGCTTATGCATAAATGAAACAAAGCTGCAAAAAAAAAGTAAAACAGGGATTCCAGGGTGGGTCAACTCCTGAACACCAGACAAATTATCAAAGGAAGTGTGTTGTGATTGGTCAGGATCTGGCACAGTGCCTTGTTAATCAGATAATGGATAGGAGAATTATGCAGACAGTCCTCAGGTTTTCCAGACAGAAAACTCAGTGAAATGTTGCATAAATCAGATTTTGGCCTGAATATTTCCCTGCTTCTTTGCGGTTCTAGTTGGTTCCCGTATCCTCGGTTGTTGGTTGCATGATTTCTGAGTTGCAATCAGCCTCCTGAAACTCACCCGCCTGGGAATTCCTGGAATTTGGACCTAGTGTTACCTCATGGGTGGAGTTCTATGGAAAACAAAAGGAGAACATGGAGATGACTGCAGATTTTACTTAGCTGGCAAATTGCTTTTCGGGAATTAATGTTCAAGTTTCTTTTGCACCTGGATGGATTTTCTTTTTCTTTTTGTGTTTTGATTAGAAAGGCATGGAACAGATTTAGTCTGATTTCTGCTTAGAGTGAGAAAAACCTAATAGTGACCTGAGATGTGTTTAATTTAGTGCTCTAAAGAGAATTAACCCCTTCTGTTTGTGTAGTCTGTTTACTTTAATTAATGAATGGAAACTAGTAGCTTGCAATAATCAGGAAGGGTATTTTTTCCTGCTTACATATGCAATTCCTCTGTGATCTGAGGTGTTCTGGAATGAAAGTCAGGAAATCAGTGCAGCGTCTTCCTGCCTGTCTCTCCTCCCTCTGCTGATCCGAGGTCAGATGAGTCAGAAAACAAACAGCCGTCCTCTGAACTCTGCTTCCTTCCCCTCGGTCGCACCGCTCTGACTTTCCAAGGAGCGGCCAGAGTCACACGGCGCCGTCATGTGATCAGGGACCGAACCTGGAAGTGAAAGCAGGCTGGGTGGAACCAGGACTACCTGTTCCAGCCTGCACAAGCGTTCATGTCGTTAGTTCTCAGAGAGTCTTCTGGAGAGTTTCATTCCTCTTAACAGGGAATTTAAAAAAAAGAAAGTATTTTATAAAAAAAATGGATGCTGAAGCTGAAAAGCAAGCAGGAGACAGAAGATTTCTTGCTGGATTTCTGCAAAAAAAAATGAATAAAAATTAACATTAAAATGCAAGGTTAACAAAAATATCAAAAGCTTCGCTGTTTGCTGCTTCCTAAATAATAGTCTTGAAGATGATGCAGTGCTTATTGCAAACAAATGACATAAACATCTGAGTGTCTGCAGGATATTCGCTCAGAAAGTGTCACAGGTTGAGGAACACTTTACACGTCCTGACTAATAATTATTTCAGCCAGCTGTGAAGTGAAGCTGCATCAGCATCAGCCAACATCTTTATAAATACGTCCTTTCCTATAGAGTTTATAATATTTGAACATTTTTGTTTCCTAACTGAGTCAGGATGAATAATTATACTGTAATTTGTGTCTTCAACGTTTCCATCATTATTTCTTCTGCCTGCTGTTGGAATAACACTCATTTGGGTTATAATTAGAAATGGTTCGGGGGGTATAAAGTTTTATTTGCTTTAAATTCAGATGATTATCTTTTGTTTTAAATTGAGCATTATGTGTTGTTTTTTTTCTTTGTTGTCTATACTGAGTTGGCATGAAACACACCGCTTACGGCAACAGAAGGATAAAAGGGATTTTCATATTTTTGTCTTGTTATAGATGTAATTTTTGTTTTGCTCTGACTAAATGGCCACCTGTGATTGGAGGAATAAGCAGGTGTTGATCACTAACTAGCTGTGCTTTATAGTTGCTGTGGCTGATGTGCTGAATCCAGAAGCACCGAGTCGGGCCTCAGGTTTGCTGTGGATTGCACTTAAATAGCCGACACATGGACTCTGCTCCTGGAACGTCCTGTCATTGAGGTTTTTTTGTTCCTGATGATTTTTGTACATGTGTGCAGATTTGTTTGGGTGTGTTTTAGGTTGTACAGTCCTGATCAGTACTAGAATGTGTCTGCGCTCTGCTGTTTTTCTTTCCTCTTCCTTTGAGCTTTTTCAAAAAAATTTAAAAACACACCAAGTAGGAATCTTTATAATTTAATCCTCAATTTACAGCCAGAATTTGCTAGATTTTACTGGACCATATTCATGACATTCAAAGGTTTAAAGGGTTTTATCCTAACCTGGGCAGTTTGATCATCCAAAGTCCAACAGGTTGATAAAAATGTTAAAGTTTATTTGATGTTGAAGCCTCAGAGTTTAAAAGAAATTCTTCCTAAATGAAACAGCAGAGCAAAAATGCCCAGCAGCATCCAACTATTAACTGAGTAACCAGGTTACCTGAGTGCAAACAAACAGGTTATTTCCCAGTTTACAGTTGAGTGATTATGCAACAGAATAAAAATCCAGCAGGGGATCGTCTAAATGCTTCCTGATGGCGCACATTTACAACGCGGTTAAAATCTCTCCTCTTACTGATTATGTATTAAAGGTTTCTGATTACATTTATGATGCGTTCTCTCCATTTTTTTTGTTTTGTTTTAAACGCTGCAGCTTTGATTATGACGATGACGCATGTACACAAATGATCAAGTAACTTGATTTTCATTGTTTTGTGGAGGGTTTATTTTAAAAAAGCTTGGGATGGGGGCCACCAAGAGGACGGACAAGGTTGTATAAATAAACATTAAACAAGGATTTTCTGATAGTCTATTTGTTTTATTTTTTTCAGTTCTGAAAAATGTCAAAAATCCCAAAGGTTATAAATAAATATCAGGATAATAACCAGGTTTTCTCCCTGTAATATTCTGATTAATGTTGAACTTTTCCCCTGAACCCACATCTGGAAGGTTCTGCATGATCAACGCTCTGCAGCCTGCAGCTCTTTAGACCTTCCTCAGTGGCTCTTTTTAACTCTGGATGAAAAGATAAACACCCAACCCTTTTAAATATTAATATCAGAGCTGAGCAATATGGTCTTGAAATGTACCAACAACATTTTCTGGTATCTATAGTAAAACTGATAGAAGTGAGTGAAAACTATTTGCAACTTTGTGTTTGTATTTTTTTTTAGGGAACTGCATGCCACTACAGTCAAAGCAGCATAAATATTTAATTATATTTTCATATTTATTTATCCTGTAGTGAATCCATGACAGCAGAGAAAATAGCATAAATAATTGCAACAAAACAAGCAGTTTTTATGGTTTTCAATAAAGTGAAAGTCTTAAATTAATGCCTTAAAATATCTTACTCATTTATAAAAATGTTAGTTGGCCTTGAAGACCTGTTATCAGAGCTGTGACTAAATATATCAGTCAAAGGTTTTGAATGTGGCAGGACTTCTTAACGTTTTTCTTTTTTTTTCCGATTGAATTTTTATGTTAGGCAGAAGTTGCGTTGTATGCAGGGATTTTCATTGCCCTGACTCGAGGTGATTGAGGCTATGAGTAACAAACTTGCCAATATGCAAAGGGGTGAACATACCATGTTTTTTAAATTAACACATTTTCCTCATAAGTGAAATAATCTGACAATAGCACTGTATATTTTTTATTAATATTGATGAATTGTTGACTTAAACAGTCTCTTAATTGCCAGTTTTGTCTTCAAGTGTTCTATAATAATTTGCCATAGAAACTAAACCAAGGATACTTGTTAATATTTTGGGTTTTTTGCAGTGTAAAAAATAATAGATCTCTTTCCTTTCACTTCATTTTAACTCTCCTTTGTCTAAGTACTAAAATGACAAATAGTGAAGGGTAAGATACACTTGAATCTATAGATGTGATTCCCTCAAGTATCACACAACCAAACTAAACGCCACCAAAGCCTGGATGGAGCAAGAGAGAAAATGTGAAATCTTTCTTTTGTAAAAGCTGGAAATTGAAAAACTATAATTTATGTCCATCAGTTTATTGAACAGAACATAAATATCCTGTGATGTTTGAAAGGTGCACAGTACATGCAGCTCACAGTGTGATTACATTACAAACCATTCAGTTTTTGCAGTGCTCAGATTTATTAGCAAACACATCTGGAAAAGATGTGGAAAAAGTCCAAAAAATACTCGGCAGTATTGCAGCTGCATAATCTGACAGAAAAATTATTAATCTGAGTGAATCTATTCAGTTGAGGAAAAATCATTCAGTCATCAGTGCACAATTATCTGTAGTTGGAACTGCATTTGAAATGTAGTAATTCTCTGTTTTTTGCTTTATACCACTCTTTTTTAAGTTCTTCAAAACTTCTAGCAGAAAAAGTCGCCTAAGATCATGATGTGTCCACGGCAACCATGAGATACCATTTGTACGGTTATTAGTTGTTGGTGACACATAAAAAAAATAAAAAAAAACTTTAGGGTTTTCTAAAAAAAACATTCTTTATGCCAAATAGTGTTAATCTGTTTTTTTTTTGTAAAAGCTACAAGCTAAAAAATTGACTTTCTGCTCAATAATTCATATCCATCAGTTGATTGAACAAAACAGAAAAGACTTGGAGCATTTGAAAGACTCAGTTTGATGATCCTCTAGAAAAAACCCAAACAAAAGCTGCACAACTGGATAAAAACGACTCAGTTCACCTGAAAGAGACGTGAACCTTTATATGATTCTTTCAAAGACCTTTAAGCTCATAATATTCATGAATAAAATCACACTAATTAAAGTTTCTATTGCCTACTCAGCAGGATAAAGGTATTTTTGAAGTGAATTTTCTTTACTGAAACCATTGGTTTAATTTGTTCCTTCAGAACCAGTCAAGTCTGAAAGGATGAAATTCAAAGTTTCCTGCAGAAGTCAGCCAGCTGCCTCAGACTCCCAGACCTGCTGCTCTGCTGCTCCGCTCCTGAGAATATTAATAAAACTGAATAGTCTTTGTGGCTCACCTGCAGAAACATTATCCCTTCTGATTTATCAAAACAAATCTCAGAGAAATTCAAACACAAAGATCGGATGATGAATATTAATAGTATAATCACACAGAGACTGAGACTTTGATGCTCCCTGGATGATCCTGTCCATGTTGCTGCTAAGTATGGAGAAGCTGAAAAAAATGTTTAAACTGCTGTTACTGACACATATTTCACCTCTTACTCTCAATTTAGATAGTTTATTAAGGAAAACTACGTAAGTTTTTAAAATATTATCATGAAACAGGCGAATGTTCCAATTTGTGTACATTAAGTGGATCCTCAGTCATTTTCATTACATATGAAAAGTAAATTTCAAATGAAACCTGCCTTAAAGTGACAAAATGATGTGATCTGACTTTGAGAGAGAAACTTAATTTAATCCAAAAAATAATCAACAGATCAGATTTACACTGCATTGATGTTGAATCAAGCCGAAAGTTGACCTCTTCACCTGTTAGAAGCATTTTAGCTGGAGATGAACAAAGACACACTAATGCAATGTTATCGCATTCTAAGCAATAAAATGCTTATTTCTTGCTTAAAAAGCAATGAAGTAAACATTTCTATAATGCAGTACAATTTCTAATGTGGTGTAGTATTAGAAAATATTGATTATTATAATAAACATTGTTGCAGCCCTAATTTATTTAGCACCGAATTTCAGCAGAACATAAAGCCGGAGTAAACAACAGAAACATTAGAGAAAACAGTGGAGACATTCCAGATTTCCCCCAACCAAAAACTAGCTGCCTTTCAATTGACCATATCACAGAGAAAATTGGGATTATGAAAACAAATTTGCTTAATCGGAAAAAAAAAAAACAATTTTCTTTGGATGAAGTTGTTTTCTGGCTGTATCAAAATTAGTGTATTTCACCAAACTGGAGTGGAAACACTTTATTAGCATCACACCAGACATGTGATAAACATCCGGATGAAACTACTGGCAGAAAAGATGAAGAAGAAGACAGGAAGTGGCTGGTGGATCACGGCATGATTTGTTTGGTATGATTTTTTTTGTTGTTTTTGCTTTTTGTTCAACATTAGCCGAATATTGACAGAGTTTTGCGGACATTTGTAATGGAACCGCAGCTAATGACATTAAGATCGTCTCTGATCTGGTCGTTTGTTGTCGTAGCCTGAGGTGATCTGGCTTCATTCTGGGATGATGAATAGATAATTACTTTTCTCAGTGGAAGCCCCCAGTGCTGCCTTCAGCTTCAAACTGTCTGCAGCATCACTATGAGTGGCAGGTAGTCGAAGCAAGCAGGCGCCATTAGTGAGCTGATAATGGAGGATAATTGCAGTAATCATGTTGGTTTATGAAAGGGGATCCTCATCCTGCATTACACCAGTGCTGGATGCTAAAACTCCAGGTCAGAGAGGAGCCAGATGCTGTAATTATTCAGTGGCTGTGAAACTGTGAATATTTTACATAAATGAAAAGTAAGATTTTCTTTTTCAGCAGAGGTTGAAACCAAAGATGACGTCAATGTTCAGGATCCACTGGGGCTGAGCAGAAGGTTTGGCTTCATGACACAGTTATTTTATTTTATTTTTTTTGTGAAAGATTTAATGTTCAGTTCAGAAATAAAATTATTTATTTATCAATTTGAGGAGACAGGTATTTGATTTAAGTACTCTTTAATTAGTAGTAACTCGCCTGCTTTAATTTAATTAGTAGTAACTGAAACAGCATAAACTGTCACCAGCTTTCCACCCTGCCATTGTTTTTTGACCCAACATACTTCTTCATTTTTAGTGAAATGCTGCAGAATATGCTGTCATGGTCGGGAGCAAGTACCTGAATAAACTGTGAGTGGAAAAAAAACTTAAGCTTTTGTAAAATCTTCAGAAATATTTATCCAGAAAAGCTTCAAAAGTCTGACTGGCTGATTTTATTCACCAGAAAGTAATTTAAAAGCAAAATTGCTGCAGGCTTTTTAACATTCTTTCTTTTGTTGTAAAAATTGTGTTTTTTTGTTTGTTTTTTGTTTGGCCAAGTAAGACTTTCTATATTAATAAGAAACTGAAATGTAAAAGTAATTACTGAGGCCCTGCAGTGACCAGTGACTAAATGCTTCTTTGTCCCTGCTGTCACAGAATAAAAGTAATTATTTTCTGTTCTTCTTTAATATTACTTTATATATTTGTTTGAATAGTTTAGATTTTTATTTTTAAATTTGTCTTCATTAATTTGACCAATGTAGTTAACTATGTGTAGTGCACCCATTTAGTTAACTTTATTTGTCAGTTCTTTATAATTTTTGTTAAATGCACTAAATTTCTTTGTTTGAGTTTACCAGTTTCCCCTGGAGCTACAGATGATTTCCAGCTGATGCCCACTGGTGGTCAACTTCCCAGTGGGCCATTCCATCTGCTCACCAGGGGAGGGGGAAATTTAATTTTTTAGTTTAGTTTCATTATTTCTTAATGTTTTTTCTTTTGAAAGTTAGTTCAGTTCTAATATTTATTTAATTTAAAGATTTAGTAATGTTTCTTTGTATTTGATTGTGTTTTGTGTGTGTTTAATTATCCCTTTTGTGTTTAGTAGTGGTTTGATCACCCACTATTTAAGTTCTCTTCATGTCTTGTTAGTTAGGTCAGTTTTTTGTTTGAGTTCTTTGTGTTGCTACCTGAGTTGTAGTTTGTTATGTTGACCTCAGTTTTGGGCCCGATTTATCATTTTGAAATTATTTGTGGATTTTTTGTAATAAATTAAAATTTATTTTGAACTTTACTCAATACTCTCTGGCTGGTTTGTGGGAAAACCTCACAGATGGTTTCTTCGTTCT